GTAAATCATTTTAAAATACTCTTATAAAATGCAATATTTACATCAGGCATATGCTTGAACAGATTATGAAGGACATTGGCTTTATCATTTGAAATTTGAACAGCTTTATTCAAGGCAGAAAACATTAGTACCATGACTCAGATCGTAGATTGCTAACGCAATCTACAATCTTATCTTACTTTTGAAGAAACATTATAACATGATTTTCTGTATACATGATCTGAATGATAGATGCTCTATCTAGATATAGGGAACAAGCTTAAGCCTGCAATAGGTAAAAAATGTTTGAAATTCAATTTCTTAATTTGGTAGAAAGAATTTTTTTTTTTTGAAGAGTAAGAATTGCTCCGATTAAACTAAAGGGACTAAATATTTCAAATGGATTTGACTGTAGATATTATCAACCTCTTGTATATTAGAATTCCCTGGTCTTAAACTAATACTAAATTACTCTGATTATTGGGTAACATATCACAAACCAAAAATCAACAATTATACGCGTTCATTTTTCATCACTGATATTTTGTGTGTATTTAAATTTACAAGAATTTAACAGTCTCACTTTTTGGTTCCAGATTTGCATGAAACATTTTCTTTTTACCCTTTCTATTTTTATACCCTTTCTATTTTTATACGGCTGATCAGATTGTCTTAGCTGCTTTCTTAAAGTCTGTATTCAATTTTTAGGTGGTGTCATTCGTCTCCTAGTTTTTCCTCAACATAGGAGCAGACGACGAGCTGGTGCTATTTTAGGATTATCATCATGATAACCAATATATATATATATATATATATATATATATATATATATATATATATATATATATATATATATATATATATATATATATATATATATATATATATATATATATATATATATTTATACATATATATTTATATATATATATTTATATATATATATATATATATATATATATATATATATATATATATATATATATATATATATATATATATATATATATATATATATATATATATATATTTATATATATATGTGAGCAATAACATGTTTTACCTTGTTATGTTTTATTGTTGTTTTTCTGTAGTAAAAACATCCGCTGCCATTTTAGTGTAAATAACTTTTGATTGGATAAAACGGAGATAGCACATTATATTTTTAATTTTTAAGTAGGAATAAGGTGATAAAACAAAATGCAATGTCAGGTATAATAAATTAATTTTTTGTTACTGATTTATTTCTAAAAAATAAATATTTTAACCATAAAAAGAAAAAAAATTGATCTAACTCAATTTTTTTGATTTGTGGAGATAGAACAAAATGATTCTAACCTCGCAAAATGTTACAAGAGAAGCGTCCTTAAATACTCATTATTTGGTTTTTTCTTTTTCAGATTTTTGTGCGGTTATAAAAACTGGAAAGTGGCCAGATATGTATTTTATAAATATGTCAATTTTAACTTTAGGTTTTTAAAATTATTAATTATAATTTGATCAATTAAAGTGGCACTCTTTGTTATTCGAATAGGTTTTTTTATAGTTGGAATGAACCCATTTTGAAACAGAGTATTAAAAAAAAGATCTAAAGTCTTTATTTTTGTCATATTCGAGCAAATCTAAATTCAGATCGCCTACAAATTTATCATGTAGCCAATGCTACAACGCATTGGCTACATGTTTCTACGCATATAACTATTATATATTAGTGTTTCCTAATAAAAAAAAAAGTTAAAACTTTTTACAATATTTCTTTTTTAAATAAAAAAAGTTAAAAAGACATGTTTTAGATAAATTTCAATAGTATTAGAAATAAATAAAAAAATCATTAAATTGTATAATTGTGCATGCTTTTAAGTTAAATATGCGCATGCTTATAGAGGGTACCTTATTGCTGCTATGTCCCAGGCATAACAAATGCTCTTGGCACCCCTTTTTAAATAGAGCCACTGAGAGCATTTATGACGTCTACGTATAATGCAAAAGTTTGATCTTTATCATAGCAATTCGAAAATTTATCTATAAAATGTCTTTTTAAACTAAAATTCTCTCTCTGAAAATAGAAGTATTAAAAAAGTATTAGATAAATACTATTAATTTACAAGCATATTTTCAAGAACCACATCTGGATTAATAACACTTTCACTGATTAGAATTAATAGATTCTTTGAAGTTAATATATATTTTTTAAATACAAAATTTAGATACGGGATAATGTACAACTGCCACAGTTCTTTCCATAGCTGAAAAGCTCCATAACCAAATTGCCTTTATGAGACCAAGCATTTGATTACCTTCTACCTGTACTTTGAGATTGTTTGAATATTAGTACTCCAAGGTCACGCTCATTGCATGTTGGAACAAGATGGCCTCTGTTACCGTCAATATCAACCATGATATTATTAATTAGCTTATGCGACAATTAACTTGCATTACTTTGCACTTCTCGACGTTAAAATCATAAGGCAGTTAGGCAAAAAATTTACAGCACTTTCGATGTCCGCTAACAAGTTTTTATTTTCAAGAAAATTGATTGGTGATGATATCTTAGATAATCTTGCCATTATAGGCGTATAGTTTGGTATGGTTATAAACATAGTTTGGAAAGTCATTAATGAAGAATACAAGTAGCAGTAATGGAAGAATTGATCCTTGAGGGACGCGAACCTTTTCCACTCGGAGGTTTGTTCTCCAATTATAACTCATTGCTATCTATAAGTTAGCCAATTAGCGATACAGTTTATTAGCTAGCCTCAAATGCCATAGACATGTGTTTTATAAAGAAGTCGTTGTGTAACTCTCTGTTGAATGCTATAGCAAAGTTGGTAAAAAAATTTTAACCAGGTGTCTACGGTAAACTGTTTCCTTTTAAAATGTTACGAAATTCAATCAGATTTTTAAAGCAGCCTCTGTGGTGTACAAATTCACTTTTATACTAAATTGCGCACTGTGTTTTACAATCTTATCCATGATATTTCTCTTCATCACTGCCGATATAGGTGAGAGACATCAGCTTGTAGTTATGTCTTGACTTTTTTTTTTCTTTTTGAGAAAAAGCGTGACATTTGATGTGTGTAAAGATTTTAACTCACCCTAGGAAGTAGTTGAATCTTAGCAAATAAAGTTAATTTAGATTTCAATAAAATCCATGCATTTGTCTTTTTTAAAGATTTCAGTAAAACATTTTAGCAGCCGTGGCGAAGCGCACTTGCCTAAGAAACCCCACCTCACGGCAAGTCTTGCGACATCGGTTAGGAAGGAAGCGTGAATTTCCAATGCTCATTCCCGGTGGTCTGTGATAAGACCGTATGGACTTCTTGGGGCACCTAAATAAAATTAAGAAAAAAAAAATTATTTAGGTTGTTTTTTTACCTTTTTAAATATTTAAAATCGTGGTATTTTAGAATAATCATAAAAGCATTTATGAGATTTATGAAAAAAATAATTTGTTTGGAAAAGACCTAGTCTACTTCAGTATCACCAACATGAAAATTAGTCAATTTTTATTTTGGTTGGTCTGCTGCTGAAGAAAAGTACAAATACTTTTCATTTTTAAAAGGTGCTGTGGGTTTGTATTTTTTTTTTTAAATCTTTTAAAAATACTTTTATTGACAAAAATTTTTTGTTTCATACTAATATATCGTAACTCTTTGTAAAGACTAAAAAGTAGAAAATAAAATAAAGCAAAAACATTTGCTAAAAAATATAATCTTTTTTGTACTAAAACCTAGAAAACAAACTTTTTAATTTAAATTTAATAGTTCATGAATTAAAGATTGACAGGTATGTTTTTATATAAATCTTGCACAGACCTCTTAATCTTTAGTTAAGTGAACTATAAAATTTAAATTTAAAAGTTTATTTTCTACTTTTTTGGACAAAAAAGATTATATTTTTTAGAAAATCTTTTTGCTATATTTTATTATTTTACATTAGAAAACTGACTCAGATTATTCTCATAAGATCTTTTATAATTTATAGTTATAAAAAACTAAATTATATAATAAATAAACACGCGTTAATGTTCAATAATAAAAACAACTATTGGTTTAAAACTATTTTTTTCACCGGTAAATTAAATTAATCCGGAAAAAAAACAACCAGTTTTCCAAGTATTTACGTTTTTTTTTTAATAATTTAAATAAATATATGACGTCCTGTGTAAAAATTCTTCAATATATTTATTCGTCTCGGATTATTAACGTATTTCCTTGCTTAGTACGACAATAGATTATTTGATCGACAAATCAAAATCAAAGATTTTCAAATACAATAGTAGAGATACGAGACATGATACTTATTTGGAAAAATTTAAGTAATATTCAAACTTTCAACAAAAAAAAAAAAACATAACTAATTAGAGCATCCTAGCAACCAAAAACTTACCCCAACCAAAGATAAGTTCAGCACAATTTTAGTTCAAATAACTTAAAAGATTTAACAAAGATGAAAACGCAGTAAATAGCGAATTAAAAGCAATAAAAAAAAGCTTTTTTTTTTTTGGGTAGATTAAAACTTTACAATGGGCGCTTAATTCAGAAAAGTGTGAAATTAACTCAAAGTTAATTACACCCTTAGGTAAACTTCTTTGCTTCTCTTCACTAATAATAATAAAATTATTACAAATTTTATAATTATTTTTCACACTACAAACCGTGTTTTTTATATGGCTTTTTTTTTGCTTGTGGGTTAAAAACCTACATCTTTTGTCGAAACTTTGTTGCATTTTAGATTAATTTTTGAATGTTTTGATATTTATTAGTTTAGTTTTATCTTTGAAAAATAACTTTTATCTTTGAAAAATAACTTTTTTGATCATTTTCAAGATGTTTTGTATTGCAACCAAAGAATGAGTTTAGTGATAAAAGAAAAACTGTTAAAAATAACATTTTTTTAATTCAAATAAATTGATATAATTGTATCATTTTTCCCCTAATGTATTTGAACTAAATAAAATTATCTTCTAGTTAAAAGAATGAAAACTAGGTAGGTAGAAAACTATAACACAACACATATAATTAAAGTATAAGAACTTTTTATAGAGAAAACTCTGCAGTTCAATGAAATAGAAAACTAATGGAATTTCCACTCAATAAAATTCTCAAGTATAAAAAACTTGTTGAGTTGAAAATCAAACGAAGCATTAAAGTCTTTCTGAAGCATCCTGATTTCGAACTAACTCCGCATACAAACCATTTCTCTGTAACAGTTCTTTATGAGTTCCGATCTAAATAAAATTTTCTTGTATTAATCACATCACATTTTTAATTTAGATTTAATTTAAATTTTGTAGATCATTTTAACGATGTAGCAAGAAAGATAAAAAACAATGAATAAAGCATTATAAGATGTTAAACATGACATGTTAAACATGATTTGGATCAATATGTTTGCATTTATATTAGAAAAATAAAATAATAAGTTGAAAACAAAAGATTAAAATAGTTTGATTTCAATTATATCTCAACATTAGTAATATATTTTATGTAAGCGATCTGTTACCTATGTTGTAAACCATAATTCTCTGACTGTTGAAACACAATTAACAATTTTTGTCTCAAAATAAGGTAACCATTACACTTTAATGTAGGAAAGCGCAGTGAAAACCTCAATTTTAAGACACTTTGAACCACATCTCAAAAGTTAAGCTTAAAACTTTTTTAAAATTTGTAAATATATTTAATACATCAAAGGCTATTGAAAAATTCTGTCATCTAACTTTCTTCTTGACAGCGTGTGCATAATGTCAAAGTAAATTTTTTACATTAAAAATATTTTTCAAACAAAATAAAATATGCATCTTATTACAAAAAGTTGAATTATAACGATATTATTACCATGTAATAAAATAAAACAACTTTAGGAGTCCTAAAATTTTTGAAGTAAATATTGTTTCTGCAATTTTATTTTGAATATTAAAAAACCTTTTTTTATTTGTTTAATAAAATAGTTAACTTTAGTTTAAAAAATAGGTTAAATTACCTAAAAGTAAATACATGAAAGTATAAACCAGAAAGTATAAAACTTAATAGCAAAACATTAAAACAATCTGCATAAAATATGATAATAAATATTATTTTATTACTTCTCTGATTTCTCCATTAGCCATTGCAGCAATTAAATCTAAAATATATTAAAATGCTTTCAATATCAAAAAAGTCAAATTGTTTGATAAGAATTATGAGTTTACTTACCAGCATTTTGTATTGTACTTAATCGATGAGCAATAACAATCACTGTGCGTCCTGAAATCAGTAGATTTTATTAAACCTAAATGGTCTCTAAAATTTATTTTTAACACAAAAATGATAAATACATTTATGAATAATGCAAAACACTTTATTTTTATAACAAATATCTTTTATTCAAAAAGAAGTGTTTTGATTATCAATATTTATCTTCAGTTCAAATTAAAGATAAAAAGTTTAAAAAACATTTATAAAGAAAACTACTATGAAAATTTGAAATTATAATAAGCAATTTTTAAAAAGTGCTTTTTATAGTTACATATACATGTATTCTTGCAAAAATTTAATAAAAACCAACAAAAAATTTTTAATCAAGTTTATTTATCAAGAAAGCTAGAAAAAAATTGATGAACAAAAGTGATCTGTAAAGAGGTTTAAAGTCTCTTTATAAATATAAACAAACAAAAAACAAAACAAAAAAAAAAGAAAGAAAAAAAGAAAAAGAAAATATTAATGTGAAATTATAAATAATATTGATAATGAATATTTAAAATATTGTTCAAGAATGTGTAAAACAAATAAAAAAATGCCGAACAAGAATTAGAAATGAGAAGAAAGAATAGTTGGTAGAAAAAATTGAATAAAAGATGTGAATAAGGGATTAAAATTAAGGCTCGATGAGTAAATAAGGTAATAGGTACATAAAAGATAATATATCCAACTAGGAAAATTATAAAGAGCTGAATAGGATTTAATAAGGCATCATAAAGCATCATATGCATCATGTTAATGTGAACTAAATGTAATAATTGATGTGTAGTGTTAAAATAAGAAACCCTAAACAAAGATAAATAATGCCCAGTATTTAAATTTAAAAAAACATTAAAGTGATTTTTATATTTACATAATATAAACACTAACATATAAGTAGAAGAAGAGAAATCAGATGTGAAATCTAAAGATATAACAAAAAGATGCACTAAATAGCAACTGCATCAGTAAATTAGTAATAATGGAAACAATTCAAACCACCCAAAAGCGGAATCACAGAGATGATATAATGTATAAATATATTGAAAAAATTAAAAAAATGAAAATCATTATTTATTAAGTTATAGATGTTTTTTAAGTAAATCTTATACTATGACAGTCACTTAAAATCTACCGTCATATTATAATAGCTATTATTACTATTTCTAAATTAGACCTAACATTGTTGGGATTAAATGTGTAGCAATCAAATTTATATTTTTGAATGGTGTCGCAATTCGCGAGACTTGAATACAATAGAAAACGCTTGAAAACAAATGAAAAGAAAGATTTAGTGAGCTATTTATTCAAAAAAGATTATGGCTTAATGACATGGAATCAATATAGTTGTGAAAAATTACTACCGAAAGAAACTGAACTAACAAATAAAAATAAAGAAAAAATTAATTTAATAAAATTGAATTGTTAACTGTGAATTAAAAAATAATATTTGTAAACAATATATGATATAAACAGTTTTAAATGCTTTATAAATATACTCACACATACCTTGTATTAATTTATCAAGTGCATTTTGAACTAATCTTTCTGACTCAGAATCGAGAGCACTGCAAGTAACAAAATACTTTATACTTGTCTACCTAACAATAATAATTATTATAACAACTATAATAAAGAAAAATGATGAAAATTGTTAACACAAAAATTATTATTTTAATAAAGTTTAAATTTTTATTAATATAATATTAATATATACAAAATATATTTAAAAAAGTTATTAGAAAAAAGTATGCTTTAAACTTTCCTCTCAACATAACTGCCATTTTTAAATTTACCTTGAAATTCAAGATTCAAAATTTACTTCAAAAGTAAATTAAACTAAACTTTATTTTTCACTTTTAATTAAGCTTTTAAGAATTTAAATTTAACAAACCATTAAATGGAAGATAATTAGAGCAAAAAATTTAAAAACTAATAGTTCAATATAATTAAAAATTAGCTATATATATATATTACATTAGCTAAATATACATTTATAACTTTTATTTTGTAAAGTATATTTTAAAGGATCCTGTACACACGATGTCAAATGTCTATGTGACTAGAACACTCACAATCAAAACTTTTGTGCAGCTGTCTTGTTTATTTAGGTAAGTGTCTTATTTATCAAGGTAGCTGTCTTATTTATCAAAGTAGCTGTCTGTTTATCAAGGTTCGTTTTTTAGAGTTTAGAGTTGGAAAAGAGTTACAAACAGATTACATAAAAAAAAAATTCCAAAAAAAAAGAGAGTAGTCCCCACAACTGCAGCTCTTCGTATAAGTTATTTGAATTTAATAAAAAATTATTTATAATTTAATTATATTAAATAGAGTTAAACAGGGTAAAATGAAATAGCGAGTGAAATGAAATAGTTATGACAATGTTTATTCTTTTTCTCTTAATTAAATATTGAATAATTTTTTTGCAAATATTTTTGATTATATTGAAGTGAATATTTATCTGAGTAAGATTGTATTAAATTTTATTTATAATAAAAAAAATTTTGTTAGAAATTTAGAAGTTTTCGAATGCGTTATATGATTTATTTGTTTGAAAAGGGAACTCAAAACTCTTGAAAATTAAATTTGGTATCCTTGAACTTAAAATGTTTACTGGTACAACTTTTTATGGTGATCAAGAATCTTTTTTCAAAATTAAATTTGATATTTAGGAAAAAAAGTTTTGAGTTAAAAACGGAAACGGAGTGTTGTGGGGTTGAATGAAATACGCTAATATATAAATAAATGCGAAGCTATTGCTTATTTCTTAAAAATGGCTTTTTTTTATTAAGTCTCAAGTGATAAATCTCCAACTAAAAATTTTTTGTATAAATTTCAATAAACAAATTTTTCTAACTGAATTTAAATGACTTTTGCTTACTGCTTTTATAAAAAGGTTCTAATAAATGAATGAAATACGCTAGTTACTCTTTTGTTAATTTTGGTCACCTTGTCTGCAAACAACCTTTAATATTGTAGTAACTCCAGCTATTCAAGGAAATTCAAAAAGAGGTTGCAAAACAACTGCAACCAGCCTAATCACTTGCAGCAGCTTTGCAACAAATGTTTCGTATCCAACACGTTGACACAAAAAAAAAAAAAAAATGTAGATGTGCCAAGATTTGAAGGGGAGTGTCTCAACAAACCTGAAATACATGAAAGGTTGAAAGATACTGAGAACTAAAAAGCAGCAAAGCAAGCTAAAAAACAACGTAAGCTTAGCTCTAATGGAGAAAAGCAAATAAACCAAGAAACAAGTCCGAAGAAAATATTAGCTGCAAACTAATTCAAGTGTAAAAAGAGCCGAAAAGTTTTGGGCGAAACTTAAGCAACTCAAAATATGGAATGGTACCAGTGTGAAAATTCAAATTGCAAGGTTTGGCTATGTCAAACATGCATTCCAAAGCGATATGTAAAAGACGCTGAGTTTTATTGCACTCAAAAGTGCCACACAAGTGAAAACTCAACTCAACCTCTAGTACCACTAACCGACTCAACATCATCATAAGAATAAAAAAGTTTATTTTATTTGATTGATTTTTTTAATTGTTAATATTGATTGTTTTTTTTAACTGTTATTTTTGATTGCTTTTTGTTTTTTTTAATAAAATGTTGCTTTAATTGCACTTTATTATTTGCGTATTTCTTACTCCCCGAATGTCAGTGTAGAGTGGAATAAATTTTTTTTTTAATCAAATAAAGTTTTATAAATTCTTTACTAAAAATTGTTAGATTTTTATGTATTTAAATACAGCTCAATACTTTTTACAGCTTTAAAAAAAAAAAAGGAAAAATCTTTTTTCCGTAAAAAATTAATAATTAAAATCCTTAACTATTTCATTTGACCCCATTTTACTTTATATAATACTATATGTTTATTTAATTATCAATATTCACCTTCAGTTTAAATTAAAGATAAAAAGTCTACTTAAAAAACATCTATAATTTTATATATAGTTATAGCTAGTTGAATTAAATATTTTTGAAATTTTTGTTTTAATGTTATTTTTATTTCATATTTACAATTTTAAATCATTTATACACCTTCCTTTATGCTCCTGTGGAATCAGAAAGATTTAAAAGTTAAGTTGAAAACCATCTCATAGAACCAAATACGAAAAAACATAAATCTAAAAACAACCTGGTAGCTTCATCTAATATGAGTATTTTAGGATTCTTCAACAAAGCGCGAGCAATGGCTATTCTAGAAATAAATAAAAACAAAATATTATTAATTTATAGTTATTTAAAACTCTTAAGTATTAAAAAAAAGCAAAAATATAAAAAACATATTAGGCATTGTCTGTTTATCAAACATTCTGCTAGAAAAACTGCTTTAAAAAATAGTTGTGCAATAGCTTAGACCTATGTGTCACATGCTACAACAACAAATAGATTCACAGGTTCCAATAAAAATAGTTATGAGTTAAAAGATGAATTTAGGTTTGAACATCTTCTGGAGTAAGACCTCCAACAATTTAATGAACTAATTAAGAGCAAACTCACAACATTGTTGGGTGTACTCATATCACTCTTTGAGTTGGGAATTAACTTGGTTATCACTCATTACTAGATGTTTATGTTTTTCATTATTTGACTCTGAATCAGTTTGCATGTTGTAAAACAGTCATGGAAAATAATAGAGTGTATATAACTGATCATATTTTATTTGAAAATTATTTATGTTCAACAAAGTGCAAAAACCCAAGTCTCTAATTATTTTGCACACACCAAATATGCTAATTTATTTATATTACCTTTGCTTTTGTCCGCCAGACACTGTAGCACCTCTTTCACCAATTATTGTGTCATAAGCCTGAAATAAAAAAAAGTGAATATGTGAACAAATACAATTGAATGTTAGAATGGTAAAAAATACTGATAACATAACTGTCTTGGATAGACAGAAAAACGTTTATTAATACATCTTTTTTCTCTCAGCTTTCTCAATTTAGACCTTTAATTCAGTGTATGAAAGACTTTAAAATAGAAAAAGATTCTTGCTTAAGCCAAATTCTTGCGACTGAGAATAAGTTAGCATTTATTAAATTAAAAAACTTTACATCTACCCAAAATTCTTATCATCCAAGTTTCCTAAACTGTTTACAGTTAGTTTGTTGAGCAGTGTGATTTTGGGAAAAACTGAAAGTGCTTCATTATAAATTTAAACATACATAGATTTAAATGTGAAGAATAGTATACTATAGATCATCGAGGTCATATTTTAAAAATCCGGAAAATTGTTTTGGTAAAATATCTGGAATATTTTTTCCCCTTAACTTTTTTTATAGCTGAATTGTTTGCATTTTTTTTTCAAACTTTTCTTAATTTTTGTATTAGTGATGAGCGAGAAAGCTTAAAAAACAAATATATTAATAAAATATATACATAAACTTGTATGTATGGAAAATGTTTTAGATATCCTTAAAAACTAAAAGTTGTGAAAAACATCCAGAATTCTGGAAATATCCAGAAAAAGAATGATATACTTAACATCAAGAGCGACTCTGTATTACATTAAATGGAAGAGTTCAATTTAGCTAAAACTTTTACTCTAGAGCAGGATAAAGAATTATTTGATTTTTGTTGGATTATGTACCATATATATCAGGCTTTCACAAAAAGGCATGCAATTGCAAGTCTTTACATGACCAGGCAAATTACATTTTGCTATGACAATTTGACCACAGCTAATTTAAAAAACATTTTAAAAATAAGCTAAATGAAAAATATTTAATGGATAAATTAAATAGACTTATTTTTTTGTCTTTTTGCTTTAACCAAGTATTTTTTTTCTTTTCTCTTTTGTTAAGATTTTTTTTCTTTTTACAACTTTTTTCTTTAGATAAGTTTAGATAAGTTTTTGTAGCGCATTTTAAATTTTGAAAATATTTCAAAAGCTGTGGTCAAACCGTTAAAACATATTATTTTTTGCGTGGTCATATATAGATGTGCGATCGCACGCCTTTCTGTGAAAGCCTGTTTATTGTAAATATTTTACACTTTTTCGTTGCTTTGAACTTTGTTTAAATCATTTGAAGTTTAATTTATATTTATTTTTTTGTTATCTATTTTCTTATATCTAAAATGTTTAAATGGGCATAGGCTTCCTCAATTTTACCCTTTATTCCATTTTTGACCTTTATCATTTTTTTCTGAATTTATGAACAATCTTTACTATTTTTTAGAGAAAAAATATTTTTGAATAATAATAATAATAATAATAAAAAATTGTAACAATTATTTAAAATGCTTAAATGAGTTAAGACCCCTCAATTTTACCCTTTTATCCCAGTTATAAATCCTAGTACTTTGTTTGGATTAAAAAAAACTCTTCTCTATTGTTACAAAACAAATACTCTTGAATGAAAAAAGTTTCAAATGAGAAAAAAAATTTAATACTGGCTTTGGCCACCAGTGATTTATTATCCAGTGATTCATGGTCTTTATACATTATCAAACTATAAACAAGTTGTATGTCGCTTGAACAAAAAGTGAGGTTTTCATGATTAAATTTGCTAGAGATTTTTCAAATAACCTAATAATAATGATTGGTTTCTGTTTGTTGTCCTTAAGGTAGTATAGACAAAAAATTATAGATAAAAATAGAAAAATTTAGGATTATAACATTGTGTTTTTTATTATAAAATCACAAGCTGAACATATGCATTCAACATTCAGGTTTTATTAATTATAAAAATTAAGCACACAAAGCATCTACAAAAAAGCTATAAGTAAATATCTATACACAAAGTAACTACCCACATGATTTAAATTTAAACTTCTCTATGCAAATAAAAAAAGAAAAATTAAAGGTAAAAACAAGATATTGGTAAAATAACAAGACAAATAGTTTAATACTTTTATTTTTAAATATTGCTATGCATCCTTAAAGGGATCCCTAAGTGCAAAGACAAGTTGTGTTTATAATAAAGAAAATGTGTAAACAAAAAAAATGTTTTAACTAAATTTTTTTGATTAAAACTAAATAATAAATGTATATCAATAAAACCGAAAGTGCCATTTTAGTCGAAGTTTGCTATTTCCATTTTTTCTATTTTTATTTATAATTTTTTTCTTGGTTTTTGGAGTTTTTATAATATACGCTGCAATATACAGACTGCATAATTTATTTCATAATAGTTTCAGTATATGAAATCATTGTGGACTTTTTTTAAGATCTTGAAGTATACTTTGTCCGAAACTGCTAAATTGCTCAAATTTTGAGGAGCGACTGTCAAGGTAGCAGGTTTAAATCCAAAAATATTAGATTTAATTTTATATGTTTTAATCAAAGTAGTTTTGAATTTTTAATCTAGTATTGTTGTAATATTTATCATTATATTGTTTATAATAATACTATACTGTTTCAGTGATGTACACTGGATTTTTAGATGTTTGAGTTTTGACACTTACACACATTTTGCAAACTCTAAACTTCTGTATGTTCATACTTAAATCAAATGAGAATGTTTTGCAAAAAATTGTGGTGATTGGAGCTTGGGGACAAAAAACCCCAATTTTCGGGCCCACCCAGCCCTTAACGTGGGAGCAACAAGTTGATAAAATAATTTCTTTAGTATTTTCACCTAAGTTTATATTCATCAACGAATTCCAAATTTCATGCAATAACCTCTTAGTTTTTAGTTTTTATGACCCTACAAAGTATACAGCCCCCTCAAATTGAGGGGGGTTAAAACTTTATATGGTCATAATTTTCGAAAAATAAGAAATTATTGGATGAAATTTGAAATTTGTTGATGATTAAAAACTTAGATAAAAATACTAAAAAAATTATTTTATCAACTTGTTGCTCCCACCTTAAGGGCTGGGTGGGCCCGAAAATTGGGGTTTTTTTTGTCCCCAAGCTCCAATCACCACAATTTTTTGCAAAACATTCTCATTTGACATAAACATGAACATACAAAAGTTTGGAGTTTGCAAAATGTGTGTAAGTGTCAAAACTTAAACATCTATAAGTCCAGCGTACACCACTGTGTTTATAATTACATTATATATTGTTTCTAATTACAATATATTGTTTATAATTACATTATATTGCTGCTAATTACATTGTATTGTTACCTATTACATTATATTATTGCTAATTACATTATTTTGTTACTACATTATAATGTATTACACATTACATTATAATGTTGCTAATTATAATTTATTTAGGTAGTCACAGTAGAATGTACATATACCGACTGACTTGAACAGTAAATAAGTGGTAAATACTGACTGACTTAAACAGGCGTAAATAATAATTAAAAAGTAAGTGAAAAAGAATTTTGTTACTTTGAAAACTTTAAGTAGAAAAAATAAAAAATACAAACTTTACAAAATATATTCTTACATGAACAAATAATATTTATTTCATTAAGATGTGAAAATACATCAACTTTTTAATATAAAAATCTAGATTTATATTTACATTTGTTAAAATTAAGTTGCACTACTGCAATCTCAAAACCAAACATATTTTTTTATTTTTAACTTTATCATAAAAATTGTTTCGGATTTAGATTATAAAACTTTACACATAATATGATTTGGTGATTGTGGCAAAAAGAATTACTTTAAATTTAAAAAAAAATTCACGATGACGTCATACACTGAAACTTTTATGAAATAAACGCGCATAAAATAAAGAATGCAATCTGTAGATTTTCAGCGTTTATTATCAAGACTCAGAGAACCAAAAAAAAATTGGAGAAGACTAGCTTCAACTAAAACAAAAAATATAGTTTTATTGATATATATTTATTATTAGGTTTTAGTCAAAAAAAATTTAGCCCAAACAATTTTTTTAAATCGTTTTCTTTAATATGAACACAACTTGTCTCAACATTTGGGGATTCCTTTAAAGTCATCCAAAGAAATCTGCATAAACATTACAACTATTTATGTAATTAAATTTAGGTGAATTAAATAAAAATTTATAATGTAAGCGTCACAGTTTAATGCTTTAATAACTTAACTAGAGTTTAATTAACTTAATTTTGAACTAATTGAAGAAATCAAATTAAAATATTAAATTAAAAGCTATTAACTTACAATTGAACAAGAAGCAAACTTAGAGAACATAATTTAATATATCATAAATATCATAAATAAATTATGATATTTGTACTCATTCATTTAAGCAACCATTTTAATAGCAGTCAACATATTTGAGTAAATTGCTAGCAAAAATATTCATACATTATATAATATATTAAAAATATAAATTTCATCAACTTTAAGTTGACCAAAAATAATCTAATTATAAGTCTTTAAAAACAGTTGGAATACATCACAAATAAATAATATAATCCAAAAATAATTTAAGCTAAAAAAATGAGAACAAAAAGCCTGCTATAAAAGGCATTTTGTTCTCATTTTTTATTTAAATTAAATTTTTTTAGACAGATAAATTTTATATATTATTCTCAAATCAACTATCTCTAAATTCTAGATTTTAAGGCTAAACTGGTGTTAAAAATTATCTCAGAAAAAAATACCGTGTACCTGTGGAAAGCTTCTGATAAATCCATCTGCATTAGCTATCTTTGCAGCTTCAATTACCTGTAATTAAATTTAATAATAATGATGTACAAAATATTTTTAACGCAAAAAGGGATTATTTTTCATGCACAAAAAAAAGTTGAAATAATTTATAATTTAAATAATAATGACAAAAAAACAATTATCATTATAAATATGACAAACAACGAATTATTACAATTAATATTATTGTATTTATTTTTTTTGTATTTATTCTTTATTTAACAAACCTACCGCAAAACATATAATTAAGTTGTGCCAAGTCAGGATCCAGATCCAAGGAAGAAGATAAAAAATAATGGGACTGTTTCCAACACCATTAATTTCATTTATTACCCATTTTGAAGAGTTAAATTTTATATGGATTTAATTATATAGATTTTCTTATACAAATAACATGAATCTCCTTTTTTCTTTATAAAGGAAATGAGTCAAATTAAAATTAAAATTAGCAAGGATATGATTCCTTTAAAGGTACTTAACTCTAGATCTACTAAGGAGCATGGGTTAGCCATCTATTCTCGACTAATATAGATCATGGGTTACAGGGCTACATATTAACTACTGATGTATAATAAAGAACCCATACATATATTTTTACATAAGAAAACTTTGTTGAGTAAACAATGTTTTGAAATTTAATTTTTAAACAAAAGTAACATAAAACACTTCAAAAAGAAAAAAAAGAAAGAAAATGATAATGATGTGATGAGATACAAAAATCATTTACTTATTAATTTGAAAAGATGAAATACCTGTTTATCGGTTGCTTGAGGTGACCCATATCGAATATTTTCCATAACAGTTGTAGCAAACAGAGTTGGCTCCTTAAAAAAGATACAGTTAAGATATGATACAGTTATCTTATTAACAAATTATTTTTAACAAGCATAAAAATAGATATTTACTCTGAGCAAATGAGCTCATTAACTCAGAGTCTTAAAGCATGAGTGATTTATAATTGATTAAGAGTGTTAAAGTTTTGCACAAAAATATTTTTTTTTTAAAAAAATACATTTAAAAAAATACTTTTTTTTATTTATCTTAACTTCCTGAGTATTAGAGCATCTAAAAAATTTAGCCATTGCAGTTGAAGATACCGCTTTTTTAATGTTTTTACAAGCCTCTTTCAACCCTTTAACTCCCAGTCTGTGAAGATCAGGTTGGCATTTGGCAATGCTGACGAAAAGCCAACCTATCTTTGCTTTATGACAGCACACAACTACTAATTTAAATCTTTTCAGATTGGTAGGGTTAGTATGCAAAAATAAATAAATGTAAAAAAATATTTATTCATTATACAAAGTATATAAAAATTTTACGTTTATAGTGTATATATTTTATTATATAGTTTATATAGTTTATTTATTATAATTATTTGGTTTGACAAGTTTTATTTATTTATCAATTAACTTTTTTCTCAAATTTATTCAAGCATAGCAAGCAGGGATGCAGAGTACCAAAAATGACTCTGGATTTGAATGTCACAAAAAGATTACTTCTTCCTTGTTTTTGGTATTCAGGAGATCCAACAATACAAAAAATGCTTATGGACTATTATTGGTAAAAAAAACTAATACTTTTGGGTTAGAGGAACAATCACTTTTTGAACCTGGAGTCCTTAGGTAGATTGGCGGCAAGGTCTCCCAGACTCCCAGTTTAAAAACAATTTATTTCAAGTCATTAAACTTCATGAGTTTTTTTATATAGCTGATCATAAGTTATCCAACATTTTCAAAGCTTCTGGACACCAGAGACCAGGAAAAAGTAAAAATATAAAGCTGGAGTCATTTTAAGACTCTGTTGAAGTCTATTGAGTTTAGTCTTGGTATAGTTATGTTAAACACATGTGGAGAAGAATAGTTGTTGGTTTAATTATGTTAAACACATGTGGAGAAGAGTAGTTGTTGGTATAGTTATGTTAAATACATGTGGAGAATAGTTGTTGGTATAGTTATGTTAAACACATAAGGAGAAGAGTAGTTGTTGGTATAGTTATGTTAAACACATGTGGAGAATAGTTGTTGGTATAGTTATGTTAAACACATAAGGAGAAGAGTAGTTGTTGGTATAGTTATGTTAAACATGCAGAGAAGAATAGCTGTTGGTATAGTTATGTTAAACACAGGCAAAAAATAGTTGTTAGTTGTTAAATCCATTCGAAATAGGAAACGCAACAGTGTTACATAAAACAAATTCAAAATAAGTCATAATAACAGAGCTGTTATTGAAAAATAGAGGTTTAAATTCCGCAAATTTCAAGCAAATGATTCAGAAGAAGTAACTTCAAATTAGTGTAAAACAATAATAATAAAGGCAATAAATTCTTTCGAATTTTGCATGCTGGATTTTAAAACACACTCCTTGACAATCGTAAATAACAATATTAAACAAGAATATTTGTATATTAACACAAAATTTTTATATAAACAAAAAAATCTTTATATAAACAAAATTTATAATATTTATATTAACAAAAATTTACACTATATTGCAATCAAATAAACATCAACACTGCTGGAATTGAAAGGTATAAAATTCTAAAGAAAAAAAAAGCGCTATCTAAACCAAAAGAATACTAAAAACCATTCAAAATTAAACTGTGGCACACCACATAGCCAGATTAATTATGTTAATTAGCTCACATTGCAAATAGTTCTACAGTTTCCAGGCAACTTTTTTATATGGCAAGTTTTAAGAGTCTAAGGCCCCATACCTTTTTTTGGCATAACTTATATTCTAGTTCATTGAGGCAGAGTCAAACACTGTCAAATAAATAAATATTAGTTTTTATATTTGACAATATTAAAATTATATTAAACAGCAGTACTTGGACTCACAGCCAGGCTTTCACAGGAAGACGTGCGATATCACGTCTTTATATGACCACGCAACTTACAATTTGCTATGACAGTTTGACCGCAGCTAATTCAAAAAAATATTTTAGAAATGCGCTAAATAAGAAATATTCTAAAAAAGTGAAATTAATTACATCAAAACTTCTTAACAAATGTTTTTATATAGCAAAACGATTTTAAATAAAGTAACAATTTACTGAAAAAAAGTTTTGTTTTTTAAATATAATTGATAATAACAGTTGTATATATTTTTTTAATTTAAAACATAAATTGTTTAAGTGTTCATTTCTAAGATAAATCTTATTAAAAAATAAAAAATTGTTTTGTTTTTATAAACGATGACATTCTACGACTACTAAAGTCTTTTTAACGAATTTAAATATAAGAATGATTAAAGTTAATGCATTTAAAAAGATAAACAAAATTTCGTTAAAAAAAAAGTTTTAGAAAACCGTTACAATTTAATAAGTTTGATCTTAAATGCTTTTACATTATCGAAACGCTTTTAATGAAGTAAAAAAAAACATACACTTCTAATTAAATTTAAAAAAAGTACTAATAAATTATTTTTTTATTTTATTTATATAACTATGTATTTTTTATGAGAAATTTTTAACTTTTGAACATATTAAATAAATAAAAAATATAAAAAAATGTTGAAACAAAGATTGAAAAGGTTTTTTAATGCATAAATTAAATAGACTAAGCATTTTAGTTTGATGAGTTTTGTTTTAGTTGCGTTACATATATATATTTATTTTTTTGTGTTTTTGCTTTAACCAAGTATTTTTTTTATTTTCTCTTTTGTTAATATTTATTATCTTTTTAATTTTTTTTTTTCAGATAAGTTTAGGTAAGTTTTTGTAGCACGTTTTTAAATTTTAAAAATATGCTGTGTTCAAATCATTAAAAATTTTTTTTTTCTGTGGTCATATAAAGACGTGAAATTGCACGTCTTCCTGTGAAATCCTGCTCACAGCTAAACAAAATTCTTCAATTTAGTAACGCCTTGGCTTCTAGTGATAATTGCAACCATTTCTTTTTATTCAGAATAAGTGGTTTCATAGAAGAAAAAAATTAAAATAGGTAATGTTCAACTTAAAATTTTTAGCTAGAAACAAAAGAAATTTTTAAATGATTATCTTAACTTTTATAAAAAGACTTTTCTCAATTTCTTTACAATGGCACAATTTTCTCTATTTAAATATGCGAATTTATCAACTAAATAGGGTTTTTTTCAACTTAAAAATGCCTTATTTATGTGAGAACTAAACTAGTGCTTTATTAATTATGGGCCAATATAAGCAAAATATTATCTTCCTTTTATCAAACAATATTTTTATTTTTGGATTTCAGAAATAAAAACACATAGGGTCGCTTCCACACTTACCAAGAGTTTAACAAAAGTTATTATAATATCTTAGATTACTCAAAAAGTAGAAATGCATTAAAAATGAATTTTTGCAGCCATAATATTATCCAAAATATTATCTTCCTTTTATCAAACAATATTTTTATTTTTGGATTTCAGAAATAAAAACACATAGGGTCGCTTCCACACTTACCAAGAGTTTAACAAAAGTTATTATAATATCTTAGATTACTCAAAAAGTAGAAATGCATTAAAAATGAATTTTTGCAGCCATAATAAAATACTATAAGGGTTAGTTTAAAATTATTCTCACTCTAAAGTTTAAATCAATAATGTACTTATTTTGATACAAATTTTGAAGCACAGTTTTCCATCACAGGTGTTTTACACTTATCGTATATATTGTCGACACTTATGGTATATCTTAAAATCTGCTTTAATATCTGATTGAAAATGCGCTAGTGGTTTCAAATGAAAGTTTAATGCATTAGTAACATTTTGTTAAACATTTTTAGGTGTATAAATTAAAAAAAAAAAAGACTATTAAATTAATTATATAGTACTGAAAATATTATTATGAATTAAAACTAAAGATTTTAAAGCATTTCCATTATTTTAGTGCATATCTTTTAAGTTCTTAAACTGGAAAAGGTAGAGTTTTATCATAACTATTTGAGTCTTATTTTATAATTATTATCAACATTTAAATGAAACTCATTTTCTGACTCAGTTTAAAGGCTTTCTTTTTCTTTTGCAACTTTTTTTTTCTTTTTTCAAAATTCTCATGTTTTCTCTTTCTTTTTTAGTTTTTTCATTTGATAACTTTTTCTAAACAGCCAATTATTTCATTCTTAATCTTTCTTCCTTTATTTTTGACTTTTTATCTGCAGCTAATTGATTCTTTCTTAATTTTTCATCATTTTTTAATGACTTTTCTTGCACTTTTGTCTTCTGAATTTGCTGCCAAGTTTCAGATGTTACAACCGATGTTTGTAATATCTGAAACCATCTGAATGAAAACATCTAACCGATGGTAGGCGTTTTACTTTGCGCTTGGAGATTTGGACTGGTTGTTTTGACCATATTAAAACACTTTTGATTGGATTTATGATTTCTGCTGCTATTTTTAAACTAAAACAAGCTGGTTTTGGTTCTATTACAGCTGCATTATTGAAATCAGGCATTTCCATATTGGTTATAACTTGCACATTTTCTAAACTACAATTTGTTGATAGATTTTTATTACCCTGTTGCATTTCATCAGGTAAAATTATAATCTTATATGTTTCAGATTAGGCTCTTTTCCGAAAATGATACAACTGGAGGTATTAAAGATCACCTTTCAAACCTAAATGTTCATCAGCCATTTTAAACTGCTATAAAATACTCAAATCAAAGCACTTTTCAATAAAGGTAATGTGAGAGGAAGCTGATAAACTCACAGTTGAATGGTTCTTTTTTCAATAAGGAGCCAGAGCAACAGTCAAATTTTTGAACAATTTTTTTGTAGTTAGCACTATTAGCATCAAATAGAAAAATTCCAGTGTTTTTAAAACCATTTTTAATATTGTTTGCCATAGAAGGATTGATTATAAAAGAATTTATTGCTTCTGGTACATTTTCATTTTTCATTTCTTGCCCTTATGGTCAATGTGCCATTGTAGGCAAAAAGATTTCCACTTTGCTTTCATTGGCCTAAAAACTGCCATATCGAGCAGCTGCAAAATAAGTGTTGCATTTGGAAATAAAGCAACAAGAATTATTCCATTTTTAGACCAAAATCCACTAAGTTCGATAGAAAAAAGTGAGGCATAACCACAAAAAAAAATTATAACTGGTAAAGGAATTTCTTCTTTTATCAAAAATGGATGAAAAGTGTTTGTAATATGCTCAAAAATGCATTCTGCGCTCATCCATCCACTATCAAATTTATACTATCAAATACCCCATCCTGATGGAGCAGCATTAACAACTCTATTTGGAAGACAAACATATTTAAAAATTGTTAATGATGGAGCAAAAGTTCCGCTGGCATTTACTGCAAATAAAGTGGTGAAGCTTTTTTTATTACATCGAGCACTTTCTTCATATGTATTTTTTCCTCATTCAACAATTAATAAATTAGTTTTTGGTGACAACTGAAAACCACTCTCACCCATATTGAAAACAAGCATCAAATCATTTAAATGTTGAGCGTTTTCTCTAAAAGCTTCTGAATTTCACCATAGTCATAGTATTTAACAAGTCTGGAACAGCAGGCTGTTGTTAGTAGATTTCGTAAAATAACTTTATGGGGTGACCAGACTGAGTGTGCATTAAACATTTTTTAAATGACATTTTATGGGGCAGACTTAAATAATTTGAATGAATTCGATGCTGTTTTAGCTTCTATTGAGTTGCTCTTTGTTGGAAACAAACCTCAATTTTAGTTCAAATAATAGGTTACCTAATTTAAATTATCCTAACCTAAGTGAAGAAAGTATATTTATGTGCTTGATTTGCTTATCTTTAAAGTTTTGAAGTAGCAAATCTTATCTTTGTTTATCTGACTGATACCTCTTTTATCGATGATATAATGTTTAAATGTGTTTCCCACTTCATTAATAAACAAAATATTCTATTATGACTTAGTGGGCTTTTGGTAACTCTTATTGTACAATCAGTTCTAACATGCTATGTTGAATCATGAACAGTATCATAAAGTTTTAGTTCTAACATGTTATGCTGTATCATGTACAGCTTTAGTTTAAATAAGATATTCTATAATGTATTAAAATTTTCAATACAGCAAAAACTTATTACTTAGGCAGCAAGTTTAACACTCCTTTATAAATATGGTGTCAACTTTATATGCTCATAAGTAAGTTTAGGTATATTACAAAAGCGGCATTCTCTGTCTTCATAGAATATATAAGCAATATGAGTCAGACTTAGAAATATATGATGAAGACTTTGAAAATAGAAAATTAACAGGATATCTTATTTTAGATAAAAATCACCATAGATTTTGAGATATTATTTTTCTGCATCTAACATAATAGATAATAAGTCATTGCTTAAAATTATAGTTAAAATTTGAAATAGAATTCTGTAAATTTAATACACTGTGATTTTTAAATATTGTAGTCTTCTTTTAATACGCTGTTCTTTTTTTTTTTTTTAATTAAATACTTTTTGATTATGTATGTTCATGATACAATATTTGGTAGATAGCATTTTGCATAAATGTTTTTGCATAAAGTATAATTTTTTTATTTGCTATTATATAATTTGCAATACAGCATAATAAAAACAAAAATTATATTCAAGCTTTTGAATTTTAGTTGAAGAACCTTTGATATACCAACTATTTTTAAAGTATTTATATAAATTTATCAAAACTTTAATTTTTTTTACAGAGTAAGTTTTTTACTTGATAGTAAAAATAAAAACAAAACATTTTTGCACAGCATTTATTGTTGGCATTGTACACATAATTTTCTACCTTAGAAGGTAGGAAATTACGCCATATTAAGGGTATACCACATATCGCACCTGAAGGTAGAAATTTCTAACTTTTTAAGAGTGTGATCCAGGATTAAGTGCTTTAAAACCATCTAAAATGATAAAATTGCAACTGAATTTTTCTCGTTTCCAGAAATGATACCAACATAAATAGTGATATAAAAATTATTAACTAATCCAGCTTAGCAAACTTTATATAACAATAGAGTTTATTAGGCTCTACTAGCTAACATTTAAAATAAATATACTCTGAATGCATGATAGTAAATGTTAATGCCCATAGACATCCATCTAGTTATACAGTCGATGAAATGTTTGCATAAAATATAAAATATTTTCATATAGCATATTCAAACTAATACAAACTTTGTCAAGTAACTACATTAAATAACAGTTGATGTCTTTATTTTATGCTATATTCATCATTTTTATTCAGAATACGAAATATATATGCAATAAAAGATAATATCTTGAAACTAAATAACAAAAATAAATACAATTTGCTCCTGCCATTTCAATATATGCAATACATGCAACTTAACTATAGCAAAATACAATGTTTACGATTTGATGCACTGAGCACTAGTATAGAGAGGAACTACAGTGTTAAAAGAAAACAGCCTGCATTTCCAGACAAATTAAATACTAAGACTTTGTTTTCACAGATAGATACTACCAGCTAAAACCCAATCCCATTAATCAGTAGACACCTAATCCCACAAACATTGATTTCAAGATTAGTAAAATTTTTTAATGCCTAAAAAATAATTTTATTTAAAAAAAAAAATTAAAAAACCTGGTTAATATAACCAATAAGTTCTCCTCTAAGCCATGATGGGTCTAAATCAGCAATGTTTATTCCATCAATTGTTATACAGCCACTTTCAACATCATAAAAATGTTCAATTAGAGATGCTAACGTTGATTTTCCTTTATATAAAATATAAGAAAAAATTAATTCTAGATGTACAAAAAATAACTCTGAAAATATATTTTTATAAAAAAGATATGTTTATATTTGTATATTTTGTTTATTACTATTTCCTAATATATATATATATATATATATATATATATATATATATATATATATATATATATATATATATATATATATATATATATATATATATATATATATATATATATATATATATATATATATATATATATATATCAGTTGTGTACACTGGATTTTTAGATGTTTTGAGTTTTGACACTTACACACATTTTGCAAACTCCAAACTTTTGTATATTCATACTTATGTCAAATGAGAATGTTTTGCAAAAAATTGTGGTGATTGGAGCTTGGGGACAAAAAAACCCCTAATTTTCGGGCCCACCCAGCCCTTAATGTGGGAGCAAAAAGTTGATAAAATAACTTCTTTAGTATTTTTATCTAAGTTTATATTCATCAGCAAATTTCAAATTTCATGCAATAACCTCTTAGTTTTTAGTTTTTATGACCCTACAAAGTTTACAGCCCCCTCAAATTGAGGGGGGTTGAAACTTTATATGGTCATAATTTTCGAAAAATAAGAAATTATTGGATGAAATTTGAAATTTTTTGATGATTATAAACTTAGATAAAAATACTAAAAAAATTATTTTATCAACTTGTTGCTCCAATTTAAGGGCTGGGTTTTTTGTCCCCAAACTCCAATCACCACAACTTTTTGCAAAACATTCTCATTTGACATAAGCATCAACATACAAAAGTTTGGAGTTTGCAAAATGTGTTTAAGTGTCAAAACTCAAACATCTAAAAGTCCAGTGTACACCGCTGTTTATATATATATATATATATATATATATATATATATATATATATATATATATATATATATATATATATATATATATATATATATATATATATATATATATATATATATATATATATATTAAAAATGCTCCCAACCCCTAAATGTGTTTTATCTAATACAAAAACACTAGGTTTAAATTTTTTTTGAATAAAAAAAACTTTATGGGGTCCCATTTCAAAAATAATATTCATTACGTTGAAATTGTATACATTATATTATATATATATATATATATATATATACATATATATATATATATATATATATATATATATATATATATATATATATATATATATATATATATAAATATATAAATATATATATATATATATATATATATATATATATATATATGTATATATATATATATATATATATATATATATATATATATATATATATATATATATATATATATATATATATATATATGTATATATATATATATATATATATATATATATATATATATATATATATATATATATATATATCAGGCCTTGTTTTAAATAAAAAAGTGTTTAATGCATTAGCTTAACGCGATTTTGACGTCATAAAATTATCTTTATTTTTTTTTATAGGCGTTAAGTGTTTTAACTACCGCTATAAATTAATAACCGCAAACTAATTCAATTTAACAATTAACTCAAATATAAACTACAAACATTTTAAATATAAATTTATTATGAAAATTTTGTAATGTTTTCAATTGTTATTTTATTATTAATTTTAGTTCAATATTATTTAGTAAAAATATATATATATATATATATATATATATATATATATATATATATATTAATTATTTCTGAAATTTGTTTTTGAATAATTGTTTTTAATCGTTATTGAATAAAAAATAATAATGATTTTTTTTATTTTTAAAAATTTCTAGAGTAAACAAAAAATATTAACATTGATAAACACAAACCCATGTTAATTATTTAAACAACGGTTTTGTTTTGACTAGCAAAGAAAAATTTAAGTTTTTGAATATTTTTAAAATTTTTAAAAGCGTTTTATAAAAATATAAAAAAGTTTTGTCTGCTTTGAAGCGTATTTTTGATACGTAGTTTAGAGCGCGTTCGCTAGGATTTTAATTCATAAACTTTTTATGTTATTGTAAAAATATTTAACTTTTTAAACAAATCACAAAGAAACAGAGCTATAGAGAAAAATCGTTTTCAACGAATAAATCTTTTTTTTTTTTTTAATTTTAGGAAATTAAAAAAAAAATTAAATTAATTATGAAAGTCTTAATTATGCAAACTCTTTTATTAATTATTCTTAAAACAAAAAAACAAATACTTGTATGCCAAACTTTAATCGTGCAAACTTATAAAAATACTCAACTGAAATAATTTAAGTATATTTAATAATTTGAATCGTATCTGTTTATAATAAACGTTCGTAAAAATTTGTTTATTAAAAATTAAGTTCCTTAAATTATTAACAAACTCAAAAGTATTTTCATTCTACGTATAATTACAAAACTCTTTTTTTTTTTTTCGTTTGTAAGCAATTTAACTTAATAAAATAAAAAAAAGAATAAATATGAGGTAATCTTTGTTAAGAATAAATTTAATTTATTTATTGAACTATATTTTTATTTTTAATTATATATCAACTTAATTAAAATATAGTAACATGTTAAAATATTTTAACATGACTTGTATTATTTATAAACCGTTGGGCAGTTGCCCTTACGGCACTATTGTTTTTGGATATAATTTTATTTTGATGAAGATCACATAACTTACATTTGATTATAATAACGTAAGTCTTCTCTTTTTCTGTGATCATCGCATCGGCAAAGTCCCAAGATTTAAAAGTTTTTAAAGTAAATCTTTTGTCCTTCAAAATACAATCCATATTCGAACTTTAAATAATTTAGAGATAATAGAAACATAAAAGGTTTTTATATACTAGTTTGTTTTGTTTTCTAAAGAAAAATACATATTCATTAGTAAAAAATGGAGACTGTCATTAAACTAAAACGTGCCTTAGTATTTATTTAACGGAACCTGTAATGTGCGCGTGCATAATAAAACCTCCGTTATATAAATATATTCAACGTAATATTAGTGTCATCAGCGGATGTTGTAGTCTACTCATGATTTCTTTACCTTATATTATAACTTGATTTATGACAAAAAAAACTTATTGAATTGCACGCAGAAGAATTTTAACAAATTGTCTTCATTCAAATATTGCGAGTAACAGGTAATTTTTTTTTCTGTGCCGACCCCCTCCCCCGCATAACTTAAACTATATACTAATAAACTAATAAGAAAAGCTATATACTATTAAACTAACTATAAGCTATATACTATTAAACTAATAAGAAAAGCAAAGATATTTTTTTTAACATCTCGAAAAAATGTCTTGATATTTTTGTTATCATGATAACAAAAATATTAAGACATTTTTTGAGATTTCATTTAAAAAAATGGCAATTCTTAATTACAAATTTTTTTGCAAATGTTTTTTATTATAAATTCAGTAAAAAATTCATAAAAAATCTATATTACAAAAAAATTTTATATTCTGTATTAATAAATATGGAATATAGATTTTTTTTACTAAAAACTTTACTACTTTTTATTAAAAACATTCCAAAAAATTTGTAGTTAAGGATCGACAAACAATTTTTCATGTTGCTAAATATTTGGATAAAAAGTTTAGCGCCAAATTAATTGCTATAAAAAGGAAAGATATATCGCGATGAAAAGTTACAACAATTAATTTTAAAGTAAATTCTTTTTTTTAATAAATACCTTTACATATCGTTATTTAAAAGTTAATGTGGTTTTTTTGAAAATTAATTACTTCTTTTATGTTACCGCTAATTTAAAAGTTAAAAAATGATAAAAAGTAGCTTAACCAAAACAGCTCTACGCGTACGTAAAAAGCGCTTAAGGCGTACGTAAATCGCTCTAGGCGTAACGCTTTAAAACAAGGCCTGATATATATATATATATATACATATATATATATATATACACATATATATATATATATATATATATTTATATATTTATATATATATATATATATATATATATATATATATATATATATATATATATATATATATATATATATATATATATATGTATGTATGTATGTATGTATATATATATACGATTGTTTGTTTGAATTTTTTTCATGTGAAGTTAGCAAAATCAGACGAAAAGGCTTTGGTTTTTTGTTAATGCATTAGTCTATCTACCGGAACCAAATGTTACTGCTGCTTTGATAGTATACAAAAATTATCAAATATCACGTAGTTTTATTTTGTAGCCGTTTTCAAAAACTTAAATTTATTTCAAATCAAGTTTTCACATTTGAATTATTATTAAAAAAGTATTTATATTAGGAATTGAATTAAAAAAAATTGTTTATAGATTTTAGAGATCCATAAATTAGGTAACGTAAACTTTCATAATAAACAAAACAAAAACGATCAATAGAAAATTAACAGGATATCTTATTCACAGAGTTTTAATTTAAATAAAAATCTAAGCAACCCATTAAGTTATAAGAAAATTGCCACGTGAAAAAAATTAATATATCCTACTTTTGTTTTTAAAATATATTACGCATTGCAATGATCCCTTATTACTAAAGTAAGTTATCACTAAAATTTTAGTAATTCTGTCATTAAAAATTTTTAATGCATGATTTTTCAAACTAAGTTTTCTTATCTCACTTCCCAAATTTGCTGTTTAAAACTTTTGATTTTTCAGAATACTATCAAGTTTAATTTTATAATTTAAATTTTCTTTTCTTATTTGGACAAACACGTTTTGAAAATAGCAAACATTACAATCTATCTGTTAGCAGTAATAACTTCATAACTTTCCATTCATTATTCAGTTTAAATTAGAAAATTCCTTTTTAATTTAAACTGAACGCACAATTTAATTATTATCAAGTGAATTATTTTTTTTTGAAAAGTCTCAGAAGAGATTAAAATTTTCTGTAATAGTTCTAATTTTTAGTTTTGCTTCAACTTTTTTAATATATAGACTGTATTACAAGCAATTTGACCAATTTGAAGATATCAGTTAAAATATTTATTTTGTTAAATTATGTTTGACACAAAAGTATTTGATATTCTAACGTTTTGAATTATATTCAATGTTTCATTAATATGAAACTAATAATACTATTCTATTTATTAATAAATAATACTATTCATTAATAAATAGAATGTGATCGAACCTGTACGAAATCAAATCTTTTAATGCAGTTTTAGTTTAATAAATTATTATAATTAAATACTAGGCTACATATATTATTTTTAAGCATTTAAAGTTTGGAATTTTTATTTAAGTGTTGCAAGTTAGGATATTTTATTATATAAACTTTTATGCAATTTTAAAAAAAAATTCTAGATGTGCGAAGTTTTTTTGTCAAATGGACCCAAAGAAACTATACAGGTAAGCAAAGGTTCAAACTAACCAGGGTATGATTAAGGAACAATATGATAATGCTCAACGGGAATTTAAAAAAAAAACGTCTTAACTTTCAAAAAGAAGAAATAAATTATTGGCTTTCTTGCACTGAGATTTTTAATTATAGTTTATTTAACAAATGTAACTTTGTAACTATTATCAAATTTATTATATTCTTCTTTAAGTTTTTTAACTTTATCCTAATTAATTTCTTCTCTACAGTCTTTTTTATGAAAAGTTTTAGCCGAATGATAATACTTATCTTCCATAAAACATTTTTGGTGTTGTTGAGATCTTGCTCTGAATTGTAATATTGTTTCACCAACATTAAATAAATTCCAGGTTTACTCTTGTCCGGTAGCCTCGATTTGTTTTTTGATGTTAGTAGAGTTCTTAAATTATGATTAGATTTAAAAACAGTGCAGTAACCAACATTGGGGATAATAATGGTATACAAGTTACAAACATTTATAGTTCTACTTATTAAGGGCTATTCTAGAACCTTTGCAACAGCATTGATCGTATTTGGGTTAGTTTTAGGTGTTGCCCACATTCAGATGTTGAAGACTTTTCTTTTTTAAATACTGCAAATATTGCTTTTTTTTGCAAAAAAAAAAAAAAAATGCCCATAATCGGCAACATTTTCGTCAAATATTGTTACAGCAAGGGCTAGTTAAGGGTGTTAATGGGAAATATAGACCCAGACCCAACCCATTTCAACCAGGGTTGGCAAAAACCCGGGTTTTTTTAAAAAAACCCGGCCCAGTGGGTTTTTTTGGGTTTTTTTGGGTATTATTGGGTTTTTTTGGGTTTTTATTTTTTTTAATTTTGTTAAAAAATTTTTTTTGTTTGTTTAATAATATTGAAAACTAATACCAATTTTAATTATTTAAGTTTATTTAGAATATATTTTATAAGTTTTTAAAATTTATACACCTCAAATTATTTTCAATAAGTTTTTTTTAATTACAGTTTAAAAAAAATCTAAAAATGTGAAAAAATAAAAAAAAAATCATGATTTTAGATTTAATAATAATATTTTTTATAATTAAAAATGCTGATGGGGAGAAAGTGGGAGAAAGAAAGCTGGAGAATGGGATGAAGTGACTGAAGTTGAAAACAGTACAAAGGTTTCTTGTGACTATTGTCATGCTTTGATTAGCAACAAGATAGAACGAGTAAAACCCCATTTAAAACATTGCCAAAAAAAGTTTTTACACAAGCATACGGAAAGAGAAAATCTCAATTTGTCAAAATATTTAAATAAAAATTGTGATGATGTACCAAATAATGATTTAAATATTAATGCATCTGCTCTAATAGATGGACCATCATCTCTAATAGCTGGACCATCAGCTCAAGTTGGAAAAAGTTCTTTGGCATCTGTAAGTTCTATAAGTTCGTTAACACCTTGTAAGAAGCAGCAGTTGATGTCATCGTACACAATATCAACTAATATGGAACAGAAAGAAAATATTGATATAAAAATAGCAAAATTTTTCTTCAGTGCAAATGTATCATTTAAAACTTCTGAAAATCAAGAATTTATAGACATGATCAGTTCATTCATCCAGGATACAAACCACCTAACCGTAAAATGCTAGGAGGAGAGCTCTTAGAAAAAGTTTATGAGGAAGTAAACAAAAAAATGATGGATCAACTTACCCAAGAAGAGAAAACAATAACAATTATGCAAGACGGATGGAGTAGTGTTACTTATGATCCCATTATTGCTCACAGTGCATATGACGGACTTAATTCTAAAATTTTATGCATTACTGATTGTGCATCAAATAAAAAAACAGCCAAGTATTGTACCGAACTCTTTTGTAATGTCATTAAAGATCTTAAAGAAACATACAATAAAGAAGTATTTGCTGTGGTAACAGATAATGAAAATAAGATGAAAAAAATGAGGGATTCAATCAAAGAAACGTATCCAAATCTTTTAACATATGGGTGTTCTGCACATTATTTAAACCTTTTAGAAAAAGAAGTAACACACCCAGATGTCATCAAACATGTGGTTGAAGTGCAGAAATATTTTCGTAATACACATCAACCGCATGTAAACATTATTTTGTATTTGTGGGTTAAACTTAGAGTATAAAAAATATATAAAAGTTTAAAATTAACTATTCAATTTTTATTTTAAGGGATGGTTGCGTGAGAAAGGAGGGCATATGCCTCAGTTACCAAACGATACTCGATGAAACTCCCAAATTGACTGTATAGAAACATACATAAAAAACTACCAAATTTATGTAGAAATAGTAGATAATCATGATATACCTATCAAAATCAGAAAAATTATTGAAAATCGAGCAATATTTAGAGAAGCTAACAGTCTTCAAACCCAACTCAAAATATTTGGTGTTGTTTTAGATCAAGTATTTAATTTTTTTATATTAAAGTTTTTTTACATAATGAGATTTTGTAGGTGTAAAGAAAAAGTAATAAAAATAAATATATTGAGTTGATTAAATAAATTAAAAATTTAATTTTTTTTAGATGCAAAGTGACAGCTGTCACCTATCCGAATGTGTTGAGTTGTGGCTCTCACTTTTGAATAACCCTGAACTAAGTCATTACCACACAGCTATCAAAAAGAGATGTAATGATGCTATGACACCTATCCATTATCTTGCGACCAATCCTCGCTTTTTGGGTAAAAATAAGTTTTGCTTAAAAAAAAAATTGTTTTGAAAAATTTCTGAATTTTTTTTTTATAGGCAAAAACCTGCCGATTGAAAATGAAGATGAGGCTGAAGAATGGCTTTACAATCATTATCCTGATTTTGTACCTGGGTTGATTTTGCTTAAATTAAAGGATTGTGATGCATTTTCTAAAAGGATGTTGAGTAATCAAATTATATCAACAATATTGTGCAGTGATTGGTGGTCTATCATTAACCAGAGAAATGAAAAATCAATTCAGAAAAAATTGCCTGAAGGATTTTGCAAATTTATTTCTAAACTTCAAACGTGCCCTGCTAGCTCAGGATCAATAGAAAGAATATTTTCTTCATTTGGTTTTATTTGGTCAAAAGTTAGAAATAAATTAGGATGTGAAAAGGCTAAAAAGCTTGTGCAAATATATAAACAGTATCAAAAATAGTTTATAGTTTATGTTTTTACATTAGAGTTTATGCTTTTACAATATAAAGTGAATATTACATTAAAGTAGTATTATAAGTATTAAAGTTGTACTTGCAAGAAGTATACCAAAAATGTAAATAGTCTTGTCAATGTGTATCTATTCTAAAAAATCTTATTGAATGAATCTAATTTGTTTGGTTTCCAAAATAAAATTGTGTTAAATAAAAATGTTGTGTTTAAATTGAAAATTTCCCTTTATAGCTAGCTCTATAATATGTTTATGTTTTCAGAAATGTTGGTTAATAATAGCATATATTATTAATATAATAGTTCATAAGTTTTTAGATATATTTCAAAAAAACCCAGATTGCCTGGGTTTTATTGGGTTTTTTTAGGCGGGTTTTATTGGGTTTTATTGGGCGGGTTTTTTAATGCCAACCCTGATTTCAACTGGAACTGTGTCTTGTTAGTAGACCCAGACCTGTTAACCAAACAAGTCAGGTATGGATCTTATAATAATCAGATCCATTATAACCAGGCCAAATCTACATTTTCTTAACTAATGCCATTCAGAATTATGCAAATTTTGTTATCTTATTTATTATCAAGCATATATGCTGATAAAAACAATGCTTTAATGGTTATAGCCTTAGATTTAAAAGGTCCAACAGGATTGGATTCCTGTACTGATTATATGATCAGTGCATTTTGAATTTTTTGAGGAAAGAGGTATAAAATTCCTAGATAAGCGTTCTTCCACATTGTTTTGTGACAAGACCGTTAGGCCTTTTATGAGCACTTAAACTAGCTTTTTATTATAAATATATTATAATAATATTATTACAATATATATCATTATATTATAATATGCTGTTATAATAAAACATTTTATAAGGAAGACACTAAAGTCATTGTTTGTGATGCCCCAGATTAGATAGCTTGTGAAGCCTCCGATAAATAATCTATCTCATATTTTTTATTATAACTTTATGATACTTTTTTTTTATTGTATTAGTTATGGCTAACTGCTTTTTAAGTATTTTTAAGTATTTCATCATTGATAGTTAAGAAACATTACCTCAAGTACACTTTAACTGTACACGACCATGATGAGACATTTTTTTTTAAATTGGCATGACTGCGGCAAATCTGGAACCTGGGACAAGTCAGACCTGCTCCAGGCTTGTTAAGAAATCAGGTATAGATCCAGGTAGGGTCTATTAAAACCCAGCCCGAACCAAGGCTCATTTATAAAAATCAGGTCTGGATCCAGGTCCGTTTTTACCCAACCTAGGCTCAACTCATTAATAGCCCTAGTTGTATCAGTATCTATGGAATAGACCATAATCTAAAATCTTATTCTGATAAACGATTATTTAAAATAAATATAAAATATAACATAAGATAAATATAAAAGATAACATAAGATAAATATACAATACAACATAAGATAAATATAAAATATAACATAAGTTTCACTATGTAGTTAAGCATTACAAAAGAAATAAAACTATAGTAAAATATGTCATTTAATATAACAGAGAAAACAAATACTTTTAAAAACACAACTGAAACAATAAATTCTTTTAAAAACACAACTGAAACAATAAACTTTACCTGATCCACTTGAACCGACCAGTGCTACCATTTTTCCAGCTTCAATATTTAAGTTTAAATCTTCAAAAACTAAGTGTTCTGGTCGATTTGGGTAAGAAAACCTGATATGTTCAATAGATATGTTTCCTTTAAGTTTATCAGCCGGTATTATTTTTCCACCTAATAACTTTAAAGTTGGTTTAAGTTCCATGTACTCAAAAACACGAGCCCCAGCACTCATTCCTTTTACAAACTGGCCAAATAAAACTGACATAGATGCTAATGATCTGTATAAGAAAATATTTTAACAATAATAAAATTGAGTATTTGTAAAAACTAAATTCAATAAAAAATATATTTTATATTGAATTTAACTTGAATTATTTCATAAACTTGAGCAATTTCTGTTTACCTACGATTTACTATGTGCTACATAACTATATTTATTAATTATTTAGTACATAATTTATATATTTTATAAACTTTTGATATTTCAAAAATCTTGACAATTTGGTGAAGATAATAAGAGCAACATTTAACATAAAAATTTGAAGAATAATTTTTTGAAAAATAAATTAGATTTTATTATATACTTTTTAGTTTGAAACCAATATTATAGTTAAGATTAATAATTAATTTTTAAGTTTAATAAATTAATTAAGCCTAATTATCTAATTAGGTTTAATAAATTAATTAAGCCTAATTATCTGTTTACAACATTGTGATCAGTTATAGGGTATATGTCCAAATCCATATAAAATAGTTTATATCCTGAACCAATATGTAGAAAACAAGACATGATGATGGTGAACTATAGCGGTACCCATCTTTTAAATTGCATTGATATATTTGTATAATTTTTATTCCAAAGTATAGTTTCTAGTTTTACATCTCCAGTTTAATTTTACAGTGTTAATAAATTTAGAGTTAAAGTTTATTAAATTTAAAGTAAATTAAGTTTAATTTAACACAACTTTTTAAACTACTTTTAAGTTTGTTAAGTTGTTGTTTTTTAAAAATTCTCTGTCAAATGGACTTTAATGTCATAATTTTTATATTATTTTATAAACCTTTTAAGATTTTCATGAAACATATTGGGTTAGATTATAAGAATGAAGAAAAATAACTTGAAAATTTTAAAATAGAGTCACTTTTAATTTATAGTTTTGATTTTTCTCATTATCTTTAATAACAAACATAATCTTTATAAGCAAAAATGGTTTTATACTTTGATAATCTATATTTTTTATAACAAAATGTCAGTAGACATTTTAATTTTTTTATCAAAAATTAAAATGTATACCGAAAATAACTATAAATAAATAACTCTAGACTTTTTAAAACATATACACTACTATAAAACACTTTGTTTACAGTTCACAATCTTGAATTTAAAATACTTTTGAAAATACTTCAGGTGACATTATTCTATACCAACTAATAAGGTTTTTTTATAAAAAATAGTTTCTTTTACCAAGAACTTGGATTGAAACAAACCCCTTCTACCATGGAAAAATTTAAGAATACTTTTTCAATTGATATAAGTCACTAACTTGATTTATATTTTCTCAATAATAGACTTTGCTATATTTGGATGATATTTTTTTTATTAATTCCTTAAAATATTTTGTCTTTATTTTATATCTTTAAAATGCAACTTAAGGGCTATACTAAGGAAATAAAAAATGAGGAGAAGGATGAAATTTCAAAATTATCAGCAAAATTTTATTAAAAAAACTTCTTTTAATTTGAAACAAAAAACATAATTTCTATCAGAAAAATTTTATAAGTCATTATTACATTATTAGGGCACTTTGGAGTCAAAATTCTACTTAAATTAAACATTGAAACTAAATTTCTTTCTGCTGACAAAATTAATAGATTTCAAAATTTGCATCACAGTATACCTTGACATATACTTTATATAAGTGACATTCTTAGGTCAGCTAGGTTAGCATTATTTTTGCATAGCTCAATATCCTTTTAGTACAAAATTACACCTTGAGATAAAAAAAAACAACAACTAAAATTTACACCTTCATCTTGATCATCTCCACAAAACACGATTACTTGCCTACCTAATGTTCAAATCAAATCAATAAAAACTTTTAGAATTTACTTGTAAAACTCCTACACTAATAAAAATTTGCTTTTGTTTCTTGTCCAGTAGGATATAAATGTAATATTGCATATTGTAATATTGCAAATTGAGTACTATTGCAATAGTCGCAACATTTATGTTTTTATGACCAGTATTTCATTTAATGCTGTGAAAATTAAGGAATTAAAAACTTTTAAGTTTTTAATTCCTTAATTGTAAACTTTTAAGATCTAATTATGATCCCGAAAACCGAAAGATTTTTAGCAGAGTTACTGGAAAAGTTAATGATGAAGTTAATGTATCTAAAAAATGTAAATTCACAAACAATATGAATACTATTACTTTGACACTAGATGGTTGGAGCAGTGTCAAAAATGATCTAATTATTAATCACAGTGTCCATAATGATCCCATATTTAATTTCAGCTATAGATACAGGAAGAAAAAACAACAACAGGAAGTAAAAACAAAAACATCAGAATATTGACCATTCAAGCAATAAAACACATCAAGAAGGTTTATGAGCAAACGTAAATATAATAATACTGAACTGTACCATAATAAATACTTTAATTTAAAAAATCTAAAAATGACAGTTTAAAAAAACTTTATTGTTTGGTTCCAACAGGTATTTGCTATTTGTATAAACTAATTTGTATAAAGAGAACAAAATGGAAAAAATGAAAGAAGTTATTTAAAAGGAATGTTCACATTTACTAGCAAATGGGTGCTCAGGTGATTACTTAAATTTAGTTAAGAAGCATATGAAACCAACTTTTCTAGTACATTTGATTGAAGTTAATAAATGTCTCTGAAATCATCACTATCGATATGTGAGTAAACAATATTTATAACATTTATTGTATTGCCCCTGACACAGTTTTAAAGTTTCTTTATCCTTCTATTCAGTGAATTGCTGTTAATATATCAACTATTTAAGCTAGTTCTAAATTTTAGAGATAGCATGATAAAAATAGAGTTATGCTGCAACTTCCTAACTTCCACTGCCTAATTGCCTATTTTAAAAACTATGACTGAGATATTTTAGGAAACCACAAAAATAATACTAAACATACAGTCTTAGCTCAGAATTAGGGTCGGCACTCAGTAATACCAACCTAAGTACAGAACTAATAGCATAGGTCATCCAGGTCATATTTTAAAAATCTGGAAAATCATTAGGGTAAAATTAAATTAGGGTAAAAAAACATCTGGAAAAAATCCTGAATATATTTTCCTTTATATTTGTCCTAATTTTGCTTTTAGCTGAGTTATTTATAATTTTTTTTTTTTAATTTTTCTTAATTTTTGCATGAGTAATGAGTGAAAAAGCTTAAAAAACAAATATATTACTAGAATTTATTCTAAACTTGTATGTATGGAAAACTTTTTTGATATCCGGAAAAACTAAAAATCAAGAAAAATATCCAGAATTCTGAAAATATCAGGAAAAAGATAATCTCTGTAATAGTTTCTGAAGCAGACATTTTTTTGCTAAACTCAGTTCTATGCTTTGCAGTAGCCTGATTAACTTAAAATTAAAAAAAGAGCTCCATAATGTGGCCTGGACAATATACACCAAAAGCTCTACTAGAGATACCATCCATGTGTAACATGACAATGTTAATACTCTGATATTTTACAGCTATTGATAAAATCATTCTTTCATATAGTGGTACCACAGAGTTCAAAAAATCTTACTACAGGGCCTGAAATAACAAATTTTTTTCTAATGGATTATTTGTCCAGTAAAGAATCAAGTTTGCCGGACATGTTCGATAAAAATTAAAAAAGTGCGACCGAACGCTATTCCTGAACACGTCTAAAAGTTTTTGTTTTTACAACTTGACCACGCAATTTTTATTGACAACTCTAGGCGTTTAAAAATGCGCTGAAAATAAAAAGAAAATTTGTAAGATAAATTATCTATCAAATAGAAAATCTTAAAGATATAGAAAAATCTATGCTCAAAAAACTAAATTTAATTATGTGAAATGTTATAAAGCATTTCACATAATATATAAATTTATATTATGAGAAATGCTTTATAATTTTCAAATACATAAATTATTAAGTAAATATATTAAATAAATAAATTATGTAACTATTAAATACATAATTAAATATGTAATAAGAATGTACAATTAATACAAAATAATTAAATACATCAATTACTATGTAAATATATATTAAATATTATATTAATTATTATGTTATTGCTTTATTAAATATTACTTAATACTTTATTAAATAAAGTTACAAATTCATTACAATGTTTACAATAAACACATTTTATTTAAATTATCAAAAAATAAATTAACTCAAAAAAATGACATATTTTATTAAGTGTTCAACTTCAATTTAACTTCAAGTGTGTATTTTATTTAGTGTTCAACTTCAATTTTTTTTTCGTATAAAAAATTAAAAGTTCAAAAAATAAAGTTTATATACAATACTAAATTTATTAATAATTTTGGAGCAACTAAAATTATTAGAAATTAAATGCACATAAAATATATGTTGGACAAAATGACAAATAGATGTGATTTTTTACCGGACAAGTTTTGTCATACTACCACCCAGCCTCAGAACCATTATTCTGAGTTTTAAAGCTGTGCACTCATTAGAACATAACAGAAAGAGTTGAATAGCCACTAACAAGGAGGCTAACAAGGAGCCACTAACAAGAAAATAAAGTAAATGCTAGAACCTGTAAATGTTTTAAAAGTGAAAGTCTACACCTCAGCATCGTGGCTACTTAATATATATTTATAACCTATAATATATATATATATATATATATTTATGCGGTAGTGGTGTAGTGGTAAAACACTCGCTTCATAAGCGAGAGGTTCCGAATTCGATCCCCACCACGTCCCTGGTAGTACCGCGCTCAATTTGTTTCTTTTTATTTGCGCTTACCAATTTTTAAAATGTTTCCTCAAAATTACTCTTAAATACTTTAAATACGTCTAACAGTTAATAAATATTTTTAAATCTATGGAATAATTTTAAAACCTAACAAACCCCCGTAAAATAATTATTTAAGTTAAAAATCTAAAACTAAAAAAAACAACTTTGCTATTGCTGAATAATTTTATTAAAATGTTAGCTTAAAAAGATTTAAACTTTTTTTTTAATCTGAATTTTTTCTACTTGAAAATAATGAGCATATTTAATTTGTTTGTAATTCAAACTTTTATATCAACTGTGTGCGGTTTTTAAAATACTTTATTAAATGTTAAAATAATCATAAATTACTTCGTTAAAATTCTGCTCAAAAATATCTTTAAATATACTCAAACAAAAATTTTTTTGCTCGACGCAAATAGCCCTAGCTACACGCAAAATCGCTCTTGGACGACGTAAAATCCACACCGCCCTAAGCTTTATCGCAAAGCCTGATATATATATATATATATATATATATTAGGGTCTCCTAAAAAACAACATTTTTGAAAATAATCTGCTCTCACCCCCTAAATGTGTTCTATCTAATGCAAAAACACTAGGTTTAAATTTTTTTTGAATAAAAAATATTTTAAGGGGACCCTCAAGACCCTTGAATATTTAATG